ATAGATGCGAATGTACTTCCAAAAAATGAACTAGCGCCATCTGTTACAAAAAATACGTCACGACTTTTCCGACAACCCAATGGATCTTTTAAACTTTACAACTTTCGTCTGAAACGTTCTTCTCAAAAATGCTTTGTTTTCGAAATATTCGATATCCGTTTTCAGAATTTTTCATAAATCCTGTACAATACACGCGCGCGCGTGCACAGATGCACACACGCACACACAACAAGCATAGAGTATTCGATAATAACTGTCGCTTCTTGTCGAAGATTAGAGCGGAGATTTTAAAAATCCTATATGATTTAAAAATTTTCGCAGTAATTAAAAAGTTACATATTAATTTGTATAAATACGTGACTGTACAGATGAATAAGCATTTGCGCGTAAAAATAACTCAACATTACGTTCATAGTTGCTAGATGTGTGGCAAGATATTTGGAGATATGATATAAGTGATAGAGAGAACATCTGTTTATAATGCACTCTATAAAAAAACTGTTATAAAATTATATTTATAAGGGGAACATCAGGTGACTGGTCGAGGTATTTTGATGCGCTTTATTCAGGCTGTTCTTGAGCGAAAAAAAAATGATACGTGTCCGGCCGTTCTTGCCAATGGCCCATAGTTTCGGAGAAATTGATTTTTAAAAAATAAGTTTAGTCGGCCGATATATGGGCGGGACGCTTTATATATTTAATCATCATGCTATTGAGCAAGAGCAGCGGTAGCACAGGCGGTAAGGCTTTGTACGACGTAGATGTGTGTTCAAATCCTGTCGCGTATATATTTTTTTTTTATTAAAAATTAGTTCGTATTTGTAATTATTTATTATTTGTAATTATTTTGTTACTGTAGATGTTTCAAAAAATTATTTATTTAATTGTATTTGTATAATTTTTGTAAATAAAGTTTTTAGATAGTTATTGTAATAATTTGAAAAATCTCTATAAAGAAATATTAATATCTTTAAGTTTAATCTTTAATTTTAATTTAATGTTATTAATTTTAATTACTTTTTGATTGTAATAAAATTTCATAAATTTACAAATAAATAATTAAATACTCCTCTATGAAATAATTACTATTACCATCATTGTCATCATCGTTGTTATTCATATGGACGCATAAATAAGAATGTAATAAAGACCGTTAATTTCTGATGAAATTGATGATTAGGAATAAAAGTGGAAAGTTCCAAGTTTTCTGAAAAAGCAAGAATTATTGGAAAAAAAATTGCGAAATATGTGACAGAAATAATCCGTGATTTCCATTTCGAAGAAGAAGAAGAATTACTTTTGACGGATGAATGCATTCCACTAGAGGATATTGACTAATTCTAATTCTAATATTTCATTCACCGGTTCATTATATAGATAATTAGTGTATTATTACCCAAAAGAATAATTTCTGATTTGATATTTATTTGTAATGTATTACAAATTATTATACAAACTATTAATTTTGATAAATGAATAGATTACAGTTATTTGTTAAAAAAAAAGTTAAAATTAAAAATTAATTTCGTTTTTCAATAATTAATGAAATATATATTTTATATTAATTATATTATTGATTCCACTACTGTATTATATTTGCGAGTGATTATTGAATATACGTACAAACACCTTGAGAATTATTTCACCAATTATGTAATTTTAATAAATTACAGTAATTGATATTTATAAAATAATTAAATTATTTTCTATTATTTTTTATTCACAATCTGAAGTGCACGAAATAAGTTCTTCGAGTTCTTCACAAAAGTCATTGAATGTTACCATCTTTTCTAATGAGGAATCCGACGATTCATATGAAATACCAGAAAAGTTAAAGAAAAATTATATACCAATTGATCAGAAGATTAAAATATTAAATTTGGTCAAAGAACATTCAAAATGGACTCTAAAATCAATTCACCGACATGGAGATACATGTCTGAAACGCATGAATGATTTAAATTTATGGAAAGCTGAAATCGAAAAAGGTGGAGGTATAATGGAAAAATTTGATATAATTAATAAGTGAACTTTTGACCGTTTCTGCGAAGCAAGAAAGAAAAAACAACTCGTAACAACAAGAACATTACAACAATAGGCTTCAGCTGCAGCGGTGCAATATCGCTCTCAACATTTTAACTTTACCGCATCACAATCGTAGGTGGATAGATTTAAAAAGGAACATAGCATTCGACAGCGTAAAGTCACGTTATATTAAATCTGAAAGAACAATGGATGTTTTAACAATATTAAAAGAAGCCGAAAAATTCCAGAAGAGGATTGCAAAAATAATAACAAAATTTGATCATCATTCTGTAATCAATATTGACTAAACTGGGTGCGAATACAGGTTTAATGTGCAGAGAACTTTGTCTGTGAAAGCAGAAAAATCAACGGAAATTTTTCTTGGAGATTTTAATAAGGTTACTCACAGCTATACCACCCACTATGCAATAACAACTGCAGGAGAACTTCTTCCAAAAATTTTTCTCTGTATGCAGGAAGTACAAGGTAATTTTGGACCACGTGTTCACACTGCAATGCAAACATTAATGAAAGTGTATGGAAATGTTTTTGTGACTGCCTCCAAATCGGATAAATTGACGAAGAATTTATTCAATACCTTCGTGCACGAAATCATCAAACCTTACTGTAAAGACAATAATTTTTTGTTAATTTTGGATTCCTGGGGTGGGCAGACAGATACTGGTCATTTTAATATTGCTTTCACCGATGTCGACGGTAATTGTTCATCTACGATAGAAGTGATTCCTCCTCACTACACTCCATACTGTCAACCATGCGATATTTATTTTTTTGCCAAGTAAAAAATTTTATTAAAAAAATTCAAAATTCCCAAGAAATTTTACAAGAACGTAAAGAACTATCGACGCGAGAAGATGCCATCAAAATCCATTCGATAATTCATCATCAATTGTCATCTTCAATTTTCGCATCAATGATAAAAGATGCGGTTTTCATCAAAATTGATCCATGAAAAAGAATATTTTTATAATGTTAATCAAATCTGCTTTCCTCAAGATATTAGAAAAAGTAATTGTGTCTGCAGCAAAATTTCATTTATTAGGTGTTCACGATGTAATAAATATTTATGTTTTTTTTTGTTTCTACGATCTGTATCATTCCGCACAATGTTCATCTACAAACACATAACTTTTTCTTTTATTCATAATAATAAATCGATTAATATTAATCAAAATTAAAAAGACTATAAACGTATTGATACATACGTGACTTATTTATTCCTAATCAATTTCATCAGAAATTATAACAGTCTTTATTACATTCCTATTTATGCGTCCATATGAACATATAACAACGATGATGACAATGATGGTAATAATAATTATTTCATATAGGAGTATTTAATTAGTTATTTGTAAATTTATAAAATTTTATTACAATCAAAAAGTAACTAAAATTAATAACATTAAATTAAAATTAAACTTATAAAAATATTAATATTTCTTTCTTATAGAAATTTTTCAAATTATTACAATAACTATCTAAAAACTTTATTTACAAAAAATATACAGATATAATTAAATAAATAATTTTTTGAAACATCTACAGTAACAAAATAATTACAAATAATAAATAATTACAAATACGAACTAATTTTTAATAAAAAAAAATAATATACGCGACAGGATTTGAACACACATCTACGTCGTACAAAGCCTTACCGCCTGTGCTACCGCTGCTCTTGCTCAATAGCATGATGATTAAATATATAAAGCGTCCCGCCCATATATCGGCCGACTAAACTTATTTTTTAAAAATCAATTTCTCCGAAACTATGGGCCATTGGCAAGAACGGCCGGACACGTATCATTTTTTTTTCGCTCAAGAACAGCCTGAATAAAGCGCATCAAAATACCCTGACCTGGTGTTCCCCTTGTTAGCAATTATTAGTTAGAAGAGAGCTAAAAAAGAGAGAAAGAGAGAGGGGGGAGTGGAATTGGTTTATGTCAAAATTATTTTTTTAGAAAAAAACATAAAAAAAATTAAGTAGACGCAGTAGACGCTTTTTTGTAGAAAAAAGCTCCAACTTCTAATCGTTAATAAAATCTAATTATTTTATGTATGTGTCCGTATATGAGTGTACCTTCATATTATAATTATATGTATGTGATATTATATATATAAAATTATATATGTAAAATTTGTACGCGCGCGTGCATGCGTGATGTGTTTCATCGAAATATTCTCATCATGTTTTTTTATTCACTTCACAGAAATCTTATTTATGTGTTTATTATCTTATTATGTCTTAAATGTCATACTACTATCTCAACGTTGCCGACACTCATAATATTAATTTTATGTTAATTTAACATAAGTTGTATTTAAATTGTATTATTTTTTTAAATTATTTTAATAATTTTACGTTTTAAATTTGTTAAATTTGTATCTAGACACAACAGACAAAAATTCCACATTTTTTATTATGCATACGTAAATAATTTAAATGAAAACTTACCAACTTCTCTTGCCGATCTCTCTTCCATGACTGACATAGTTGCGTCCTTACATGTTATTAATTCATAATTAGTTCATCCCGATTAACTTGATATGTAATCATCTGTAAAATAAAATCACATTCATAAGTAAACATAAAACAATATCGAATAAACTATCATTTTTTCATTTAATATAGGTTACAAACATATAAATAAATAAAAATTATCTTGAGTAAAAATATTATATTATAGCTTATTCATATTATAAACGTGTCTCTAACAAGAATATCTTATCAGCACAGAAACAAAATTTATTGCTGCTTCACTTCCATAAATACTGATAACATTATCGATAGCCTTGTAGGACAAAACAATCGCATGATAAACATCGCATGATAAACGAACTAGAAATATCGCATGATAAACGATCTAGAATAATAAAATAAAGATCTGAAGTTAATTATTTCAAATAAGCATAACACGCATAATGATAGTAAAAATATTATATTCAGAGATAATTTTTATACGCGGATATACAAACCGATGTAATGGTATCGATTAATCATCGTCGATCTGAATCACTAGTAGATTGTCATCCATCAAGTAAGAGTGTTTAATTCTGACCATCATATTGCAACAATATCCATCAATGTGTCATCGGCTGGTTAGATTGACATTGATAAGAGAACTCAACAAAACGCGATAAAATTTATTTTAGACTATTTAACGTTTAGCACATATTTTTTGAGAAAAATGTAAGCATTTCCAAAAAAATATTCCACGCAAAAGTTATAAGATTTCAAGTGTGTGTGTGTGTGTGTGTGTGCGTGCGTGCGTGCGTGCGTGCGTGCGTGCGTGCGTGCGTGCGTGCGTGCGTGCGTGCGTGCGTGCGTGCGTGCGTGCGTGCGTGCGTGCGTGCTG